CACTCTTGTGGATCACTCTTGTAGGAAACTCTTGTGGGACACTCTTGTAGGAAACTCTTGTGGGACACTCTTGTGGGACACTCTTGTAGGACACTCTTCTGGGACAGTCTTGTAGGACACTCTTGTAGGACACTCTTGTGGGTCACTCTTGTAGGAAACTCTTGTGGGGCACTCTTGTAGGGCAGAGGGTTGCGCGCGCATGGGACAAATCGCACTCTCGCCTGCGTTTCACGCACTCGACACGCCCGATCTCCGCAGAGGGTTGCGCGCGCATGGGACAAATCGCACTCTCGCCTGCGTTTCGCACACTCGACACGCACGATCTCCGCAGAGGGTTGCACGTCAAGTCTCCAAAACGAGCGTTTCGTACGAGACTTCCTCAAGAACTCACACGTCAAAGTCTGCAAAACGAGCGTTTCGTACGAGACTTCCTCCAAAAGTCAAGCGGAAACACCCATCGAAGCACACACATCACGCAGCCCTGCCAAGCAGTTTCGCGATTCCAGCCCCTCCAAACAACGTCCGCCCACACGCCAATCCCAATGTGACAGCGACATTCACCTCTACCACAACTCACAACCTCACGATTCCCTGCGCCTGCCACGAATCTTTCCGCGTCCACACGTATAACGCGCACAAAGTACTGTGCCTGCCACGAAATGTCACCTCCGTCACACCTCGCAACCTCACGATTCCCTGCGCCTGCCACGAGAATCGCACTTCCACGCCTCAAAGCCCGCACAAAGTCCTGCGCCTGCCACGAAAAGTGACAATATCATCTCATGTGAGCTTCAACAAAATTTGCACCACACCACACGTTTGGCATGATTTCGACCCGTTCTGAGCACACTCCCATCCACCAAAATCGCCATTTCAGCTGAGACTTGTCACGAAAGCCGAGCTTCGATGCCACACCCTCACACGCAAATCCCAATGGCATGGCCACATCCAACACCCCCAAAACACGACTCTCCAAACGCTAAGCCCAATGGAACTGCGCAGCAATCTGCGGATCTCACAAAATGCTGGGCCTGTGCAGCGAAATGCATCACGTTTCTTGCGCGACATGTCATTGTCATGCAAATCACAATGGAATAGCGGCGCAAACTGACACGTGCCACATCCATGCAAAGTCACTTGCAAAAGCTTCCCCCAATGGCAGCAAATTTGAGACGCGACGACGACGACAAACGGCGAGAGACGACGACAAGCGACGACAAACGACGAGAGACGACGACACGACGCAAGCCATGCAAACACAGCTCCAACCCCCAGACCCCCAACTATAAACGGGAACCCTTCGCTACGCATTCGGGAAAAAGGAAGACTCAAGAAAACTCAAGGACGAATGATTCTCTGATGACTGTCTCTCAAAAGACACGCTCAGCTCAACATAGAGCCAAGGAGCATTTAGGGCGGTTTGGTGCATTACGTGCGAGGCTGCATCGTTTGGCTCTAGAAATTGGGCAGTGTGCACAGTGTCAGTGTGGCTGAACCCAACCAAATGATAGTTGGGACAAGGGCATTTTGTCATCATGTGCAATCTCACTCCACCAGTCATTTACTGCATCTGCAGTGACAAACAACAATACATCCATATTACCCTTGGTTACGGGTTAGTTCAAGGCATAACCTCTGAGCAGGCACGGCCATCACGCACTTGCCGCCCATGACATGATGCCAGGAGCCCCTAGTAGCGTCCTTGTTCCTGGTAGTGATGGCCTTTGTTCCTAGTAGCTTCTTGCTCCTAGTAGTAAGGCCCTTGTTCCTAGTAGCGATGCCATCCTTTTTCCTAGTCGCTTCTTGTTGCCAACAGTGAAGCCCAGCTTTTTGTCTACACCGGCAATCGTACTGGCCGCACTGAATAGCCTCCAACCAATCGTTGGAACTCCTCCAACAATCTGAACGTCATTAAATAAACAACGTCTCTGTCTTTCTTCCCACAAATCACGTACTAAAAAGAGATCAACCCCAGCTTCCCGCATAGCTGCAGCTACCAGTTGGGTGGTTCAATTAGTAGCAGCTCCTTTCCATCCAGTGTCTCGTTCTCCATTAACACCTCTGCCGCCCGCGCCGCTAGCCGCTAAACCATCTGAGACTGAGACTATAGTCTAAACTGCAAATGAATACTGATTAGACCGCCTTTGCAACGACTGCATGCAATGCCGCATTCCGTGACAAAGCTGTCCGAGCCGCAGAGAGAGCCTCACCGTTCGCAAACACGCTTGTTCACGTCGCTCTGAGATGCTCTGAGTTTGGGCATCAACTTTGAGATATTCCAAGCTGATGCAATGACTCATCAGAAACACCATGGAGTCTGGGACAATTACCTGTTCCAGCAAAATCTTCACCTGGCCAAACACCGTCCAGCGCAGGAGTGCAACTTTGAAGACGATAGAGATTCATGATGAACACACTGCGCTGATCTGCCATTTCATGTGGAATTTTGTCTAGCTGTCAAGCATGATCAGCCAATGGAGCAACGGCGTTCCAAAAGGTTGACTTGAGCAAGCGGGCCTCTCCATCTACAACTGATAGAAGAGCCTCCACTAGACAGGGCCAGCGGACACGGGCACGCGTGCTCTGACAGAATGTGTGTCAACACCTATATACTCAACAGCTAATTGAGCACTGCATTCTCTTTCATGTACTTTCTGTATTGTGAGTACTTCACCTGAGAAGGTGTCAAGCCCGCTTGAAGCGATCTTGGGCCGATGGCCTCCGAAACAAACGTCGACAGGTCATTGTAGTGGTTCACAAAGGGGAAACTATAAACCTTCAAGCACCTCAATATGAAAAGGGCTACTAGCCTTAGACAAACCGCCAGCAGCAATCATCTGTGTAGCCATCCTGGTCGCCTCACGCATGCATGTGATGAGGCTATGTTGCAAAGCTATTTGCGATCGGTTTCGCTTTGCCTCATCAATATCTGCCTGGGCACCCATAGTGGCCTCGCTTCAGCAGTTTGCTTCTGAATGAACGCAGTGAAAACAAGTCCTCGCCTGCCCTTGCCCCAAAATTAGCTCCTGTGCAAAACCCTAGAATGTCACTGGATGCCCCAAGAATATCTATGTATATACATTTTTTTGTATCTTTGTAGAATCACATATATATATATACAGTACAGTATGACAGTATGACAGTATGACAGTATGTATGTATGTATGTATGTATGTATGTATGTATGACAAAGGTAACAAACCAGCAGATTCGAGGCTCCTCTGCAGCTCTTCCACCCATGTCCACTGCCAACATCGCCAAAAGCACTTTGCGAGACTGTGGAATGCGGCTGGCCTGAAAGTAGGAAAAGGCCCTGCAAGAAACCGAGGACACATGTGAGCATGACCCTAGGAGTGGTATCGGGTTATGAACTCAACAAATCAAGCTTGAGTGAGGCTTAAGAACGGGCAAAGTCTTTCCCAGAAGAAATTCATGGAAATTGTCTCATGTGCCTCCTCTGGATCCGCAAATTGTGTTACTCCTCCAGTCCCACCTGGACACAGTGACAAAACGTAACTCAATTGAGTGAGGGAAAAACCACTTTCCAAGCACCTGCAGGAACGATGCTGATGTGCGCCACTGTTCGAAAGCCCTTGATGCCTGGCACTGTCGCATCCAATCAATAAAGAGGACACGTCTTTAAATTGTCTTCAACTTCCAAGCTTCATGTGTTGAAGATGCGCTGGGTGGCTGGCCAGTTACTCCGAGGGAAACTCGCATCACCTCAGCCGTTACTGGTACCAATGCGTTGCAACAGCAGCAACTATGCTTTGGGAGCCTCATTGACTACAGCATGTCCAGCCTGCGTGCCGGCAAGGGACGCAATGGCATGTTAACAAGTAAAGCTTTGATAAGCAATAATAATAGCAATAACACATAGTTATATATAGTAACCATAATTAGTAACATAAATAATCAAAACTGCACATATAACTACCTTCTATCAAGTCCATCTGCCTCGTGAAAGGCAGTGACATTCATTTCAGCAGCAGATTGGTGTCGCCTCAAGCAAGCTCAAGGTGACACCTATTGATATCAAGCCGGCACAAGTTGACAATCCAAGGCCACCGCCCTGAAGGAATTCCAATAAGGGCTTTGCTGTAGGCCGCCTACAAGGGGCAAAGTATGGCAAAGTTGCAGGGACATTGGGCAAGAAGGACCTACACACACACACCAAGAAACAATACGACCAGAGATGATCAAGCGAGATGACGCGAGGAGGAGATCGACTAGAAAGGAAAAGGATGCGAAGAAAGAAGTCAAGAATATCGAACAAATCTGAGAGTCATTAGAGTTGAAATGTGGTGAGGTGGAACCAAGGGGCGAGCTTGGACGAGTTGACAAGGGCATTGAATGTGAATGGGTATGAGATCTACTACTAAGTATGAGGAATGTTAGGAAGGTAGCAAGGAAACAGTTACATTGTGGCCGTAAGCCTATAGGCTGCCCCTTGCTGAACAATTCTCTGTGCAAGTAAACAATGCACCACCTGCAGGTGCCGTTCGCCAACGAAAGAGGAGCCTGCCGAAAAGACAAAATTGCCCACCAAACTCAAAGC